ATATGTGTGTACATATATATATGCACATATATATGTATGCAGGTATGTTTTCTCTATATGTACCTATATTATCTACCTTTCTCTTTATCTATCTATCTATCTATCTATCTATCTATCTATCTAATCTCCTAAATGGGGAAGGGCTCTTATAGTAGGTGAATTGCCCCAGGCCAGCTCTGAACCTTAGCTGTTATACCCTTTCTTCAAACTCTTACTAGAAAGTTCAATATAGAAAAAAGATAAAAGAGGAGTTCTTTTAACTGAAGTAGTTGAAAGCTACTGGTGAACAAAAAAGATCTTTCATTGGAGCAGGAGGAATTAGGAAGGAGTTCTAGACCTAGCTCAGACATTAATTGCCTGTGCCATGTTGGGGAAATCTATCAACCTCCATGGCCTCAGTACTAACATCTATAAAATAAAAGGATTGTGCAAGATGTTTTCTAAAGTCTAAAATAAACACTTTAAACGCTAAAAATACTTTGATTGAAATATAAATAAATCTGTCTCTTAAGTCAAAAAAATCCTTATTAAGTTATGATTATTATGCAGTTGTTTCCTGCAATTTAACTTTTAAGTTCTGTTATATGCATTGAATTGTGTCCCCAAAAAAGATACATTAAAGTCCGAAACCTGTGGTAACTCAGAATATGAACTTATTTGTAAATAAGGTTATTATAGATGTAATTATTTAAGATGAGGTCACATTGGCGTATGGTAGGCTTTTATCCAATATGACCAGTGTCCTTATAAGAAGAGGAAAGAGACAAGGAGGCAGAGACAGACTAGGAGAATGTCAAGGGACAACAGAGGTAGAGATTGGACTGTTGCATCTATAAATCAAGGAACACCAAAAATTTACCAGCAAAGACCAGCAGCTAAGAAGAGGCAAAGACCAGATGTGAGGGACAGGAAGAAACCAACACTGTGGACATCGTGATTTCAGACTTCTGGCCTCCAGACTGTAAGAGAATAAATTTCTGTTGTTCTAAATCACTGTGATATTTTTGTTTTAGTAGCTCTAGGAAACTAATATAAATATTAGGAATTGAATATAATGCTTTGTATACAAATTTCATTTTTAGTTTTACATCACAGATACACAGCTAGTTAGACAAGCATTTACAAAGCATGATCCCTTCTCAATTATTTTTCTTTAAATAATATTTGATTTTAATTGATTATGCAGGGATTGCATTACTAATCCAAATTCCATAAGTCAAAATATGTCTTCTGAAAAGATATTAATTTGTTGGTGATAAGCATTTTTTTTTTCCTAGGAAACGTATCTGCTTTGAAATGAAACACAGCTACTGAAATAGTCTTATTTTATTCAGCCTCTAGTTTTTGGAGGCAGGAAATGAAGTAGTTAAGGATCTGCCTTAAGATATTATCGGGGTTGAAATCCTGATTCTACTACTGTATGTGACCGCGGATAAGTTACTTAGTTCTCTGTGCCTCACATCTCCAATTGTAATGTAGAATGACATACAAGTGTTGAACTTGTAAGGTTATTGGGTTGATTAAAAGAATTAAGATGTGTCAAGGTCTCAGATAGTGGTTGGCATATAGTATGTTATCGATACATGTTAGCTTTGATCCCCTTCCTTTCTAGTGTTTCTAACCCACTGCCACAGATTGACTACATGAGCAACTCAGGCCACTCACCTGCTAGAAAACATCACATGGCCCCCCATCATATATGAAAATATTAAAGACCATCTAAAAGTTGGCTCCATCTAACTCTCTGCTTTTTTTCTCCCTTACTTGCTATCTACTGAAGTCACATCCTCCTTGAAAATGCAGCTCATATTCTCAACCCCTACTGCTAAGTCTCTCAGGTCACCTATATCAGACTTAGTCTTTCTCCCTCTGCCATATTCCCCTAGCACAAGCTCTTGTACACAGCCTGCTTAGGAGTTATTTGTGCATGTTATGTCCCATTTGATAGATGATGACCTCCAGGAGGGCAGGGCTTGTACCTTTCAATTTTGTCCTCTCTGTAGTACCTAGCAGAGGTTTTTTAATACTTAGTAGATACTCAATAAATGGTTGTTAAACTTGGTTGAACCTACATTTTGTTTTTCTTTTTGGCAGATGCCCTGAGAAAAACATAAAATAAATGAATTACTTTTCGTCTTTTCATTGCAATATATATGCCCTGGGCTAGGGGTATTTGCAAGCCTGGTTTAGAACCTAGGGAAGTCATCAATCTAAGAATGGACAGGAAATGCATTTTAAATCACAAGAGCAATATAGCCTTATGTAAGGCCTTCTAGCAAAGCAATTATCAATGGCTCAATAACCCAGGTGCTAGAGTTATTATGAACAAAAGTCTGAGGTTGAGAGACAATGAGTGATCTTAACTTTTATATTCCATAGGTATGCAGTTCAATGAAACATGTACAGATGGAAGGTTTAGATCTGAAAATCATATGTGGGTATCATAATGCAAATAATTGGCTTTCTTTCTAAAGAACATCTGTTGAAACATCTGAAAGCAGTTGTTTATACTGATGCCAAAATGCTGAAAAATATAATAATTCTCCTATGAGGTTAGAAATATCCGGGGGAAGAAAAATAGTTTTTATGTAGTTCTGTTTTTATTAAATCCTGTTGTTGCTTCTCTAATATGGCACATAGGAGATGCTCAATAATATTTGTTGAATGAATGTTGAATGAATAGCAGAGACTCATTAAACAGTTGTTGGATGAATCATTTTTTTTTAGACTTCTAAGATAAAATTTTCAGAAAATGGTATGCCCTAGTTTTACCATGCCATATACCATTTTTATTTGGCATAAATTGAAGCAATGCTACCCTTGCTCTGAATATTATAGAATGTAATCAGAATGTATATCTAAAAGAATAAATATCTTACTGAAGAAAATATATGAATAAAGCTAGTACATGATTGAATAAATCTAGCGTATGATAATACTACTTTAATATCCTAACATGTTACTTTTACCTATTATTATAAAAGACCTAAAATTGGAATTGTGGGCTTGTATAATCATGTTTCAACAAATAAAAGAAAATAAAAATCCCTGCTGATATCTATAGTGGTGGCACCCCTAAGACTAATTGAACTTGGCATTTAAAAGCATCACAATATTCTGTGATATGAAGACTGCAGAAAAGGAAGAAGTCATTTCTCCCCATAATCCCATTCCAGAATTTCCAGCAGTTCTTCCTTTGCATACGCCTATGTGAGGGAGGCAACTGGGCTCCCCAAAGGCTGCCCAAATTCCACTCTGCCAAGTTTTCAGTACAGAAAGAACATGTTAAATAATAAATGTGAGTTTGAATGTAACTAATAAAATTGGAATGTTAAAGAGCAGCATGCTTTTGAAAAGCAGCCTCCTTGTAAGAATGCCCCCTGTGCAAGTCCACGGGAAATAATTCTGAAGGGAGTGATATTAATTAGTAATATAATTTATCTTCTGGAAGCCCTTTCCTTTGATAGCGCCATGGCACAGTTCATAAGCTTCCAAACGAGTGCTCAAAGAAAATGGTTCAAACCACAATTTCAGTTTTGTTTTCCATCCTCGAACAGATAAAAGAGTCAAATTTATTTCAGTATATCTAAGTTTTACACACGCATCACATGATGGAGAATTATGAAGATATAGAAGTGTATTTATGAAGAGTTTTCAATGAAATGGTAAAAGGCTTATGATGTAATCAAAGGAAAACCCAGCAGTATCCAAAATTAAATTCATGGCCTCTGATCTCAGATTTCTTGGTTTTAGCTCTAGCTCTGTCATATACTAGGTATGCCACCTCGGCAAGATACTTAACTGTTCTGTTCTCGGTTTTCTCATCAAATGCTATGAAGGTAATAGTAAAAATCATTGTTTGGAATAGTGCCCAGCAAATAAGAAATAATACTAATAGTAATTAATAGTATTATTTATTCACGATATTTTCAAGCTTGTAAAAGAAAATGCAAGGTGAGGAGGATTAGCTGGAAGGCAGTAGCCAAAATGCTATTCATATTTGCATCTGAATGGTAAGTTTATAGATAATTCTTTTCTAAGCATTACACTTTTCCATATGTATTCTTTTATAATAACAGTTTAAAAATGAAGTTTGGGCAGCCTGGGTGGCTCAGCGGTTTAGCGCCGCCTTTGGCCCAGGGCCTGATCTGTAGACCCGGGGTCAAGTCCCACGTCGGGCTCCCTGCATGGAGCCTGCTTCTCTCTCTGCCTGCGTCTCTGCCTCTCTCTTTCTCTGTATAAATGAAGTCTTTTTTTTTTTTAATGAAGTTTTATGCATACATGGCTTGATGGAAGTTGAGGTGGAAATTTGGAATAGGTTAAAAACTCATAGCCCAATATACTACAGCATTAATGAAATATCAATTCTTTTATACAGATGATGTGAAGGAATTCATAGTTACCATCTTTCAATTCTAATACAATCTAATTAAAAATCATTTTTTAAAGTTTAGCCAATGTCAATTCTACAGTCAGAAATGATGTCAGATGTTTATTATAATCTTACAATTTTGGCCTACTAAAACTAAAAATGCTTTATTTTATAATTGGAAAATCCCATGCAAAAGCCCCAAAGGTGCCTTTCATGTCTAAGCTTTAATTAGCAAGCACTTTGGTCTCTGACACATATTGTGCAGATGCTGAAGTGTTAATATTACCGAAGCTTGATTACAAAAGGCAATGATTAATTTTAAAGCAGACTAAAAAGATATGCCCTGATTACAAAGGAATGATTAAGGCGGAATGTCAGGCATCGCACATTTATAGCAGCCTTTGGCACCGTCAAAGGATAGGCCGCCGCAGTCTATACTTAGAATCACGAGTGCTTAGTTCTCCGTAACGCGGGGGTTCGCGCCGTGCAGGAGGATCCCCGCCCTGCAGGCTGCAGGCTGCAGGCTGCAGGCGAGGCCCCCGGACCTTGGCCGCCACGTGGCCAAAGCGAAAGGGCCGCAGGCGCGGACTGGGCCCAACGCGCCGCCGTAGCTCGGTGCCCCCCGCGGGACCAGGCCGGGCACCTGCGGGCGGCTGCGGAGGGCCCCGCGCACGGTAGTGTCCACCCGCGCACAGCCCGGGGTGGGGGTGGGGGCATTAGGAGGACCTGCCCCCGAAAAAGAGGCGGTGGGGAGGAAGAGGCCAGCGGCGGCGGGGGCTGCTGCCCGGGCGGGCGCTCAGAAGCCAGGCTCGGGGCCTCCGTGTTGATTTGGCAGCAGGACGCAGAGGGAACCCGCGGGAGCCCGGGGCCTCCGGGGAGGGGCCGTGTCCAGACGCCCGGGGGGAGACGGTGCTGGGTTGTTAGAGACGCGGGGAAGCGAGGCCTGGTGCGTCCTGAGCCCAGGCTGATGCAGGGGGGGTGCGGGTGGGGGTGGGTTGGCTGTGCGGGGGGGAGGGGGGTGCGGTGGGTGCGGGTGCGGGTGGAGGTGCGGGTGGGGGTGGGGGTGGGTTGACTGTGCGGGGGGGGTGCGGTGCGGGGGAGATGGTGGTGCGGATGCGGGTGGCGGTGAGGGTGCGGGTGGAGGTGCAGGTGGGGGTGCGGGTGGGGGTGGGTTGACTGCGGGGGGGCATGGTGGTGCGGATGCGGGTGAGGGTGCGGGTGGAGGTGCAGGTGGGGGTGCGGGTGGGGGTGGGTTGACTGTGCGGGGGGGGATGGTGGTGCGGATGCGGGTGGCGGTGCGGATGAGGGTGCGGGTGGAGGTGCAGGTGGGGGTGCGGGTGGGGGTGGGTTGACTGTGCGGGGGGGGATGGTGGTGCGGATGCGGGTGGCGGTGCGGGTGAGGGTGCGGGTGGAGGTGCAGGTGGGGGTGCGGGTGGGGGTGGGTTGACTGTGCGGGGGGGGTGGTGGTGCGGATGCGGGTGGCGGTGCGGGTGGCGGTGCGGATGGGGGTGCGGATGGCGGTGCGGGTGCGCGTAGGGGTGCGGGAGCTCTGAATACCTCTCCTCCTTCCCGGTGCTCTCTGGGGTCCTCACACTCCCGCTGGCAGATCCTGAACCAACCCGCGGGCGTCCGGGGCCTGAGATGAGCTTAGAGTCCCTGTTCCAGCACATCATCTTCTCGGAGCATCAGGCCCAGGAGAGTCGCCGCTTGATCCGAGAAGGTCGGTGCTCGGGTCTAGCGCTGGGTCCTGGCTCCTGGGGTGGGGGTGGGGGTGGTGCTGGGAGTGGGGTGTGGGGGCTGGAGCCAAAAGCAGCCCGGAAGGTGCGGTCCGAGCCCTGAGGGGGGCCCTACTGTCCACGTGCACAGAAGTGGGGACTTAGGAAAGATGGAGAGGGCACCTGGGTGGCTCAGCAGTTGAGCACCTGCCTTTAGCCCGGGGCGTGATCTTGGGGTCCTGGGATCGAGTCCCACATCGAGCTCCCTGCATGGAGCCTGCTTCTCTCTCTGCCTTTGTCTCTGAGGCCTCCATTTCAGTGGCTTTCATGAATAAATATATAAAATCTTAAAAAGAAAGAAAGAGAGAGAGAGAGAGAAAGAAGAAAAGGAAAGAAGAAAGAAAGAGAAAAGAAAGAAAGAAAGAAAAGAAAGAAATAAAGAAAAGGTGGAGGTGTTTAAGGATTTCATTTGTATTCCAGTAAGGTCGGAAATAAACAGATGTCGTGAAGAAATTAAGAAAGCAACTGAGTTGCTGAATGAAGAGAAAATCAAGTTGGAATTGAAGGTACCTTGACCTGTAGAGCATGCTCCTTCTCCCTTGGGGAAAAAAAAAATCTATTCTAACTTGACTTTTTGAGGCTATTTTACTATTCAACTAGTTGTCGCACAATTAGGAAGCACACTGCTGGGCCGGTTAGTGCAGTTCATTGTTTCTGGGTAATATTTCAAGCTCTCAGTCCAGGGACACTCATCCTAATAGGCACTTGTCCTAAAGAAGCCAGTTTAAGTAATGAAGAATTGATGGTCTACGTGGGGTGGTTAACTTTTTCAAAGAGCCCAGTGTCCCTAAAAAAAAAAAAAAAAAAAAAAATGTTCAATAAGTAGTTGGTGCAGTGTGTAAATTTTGAGTAGTAAATAATTTAAGAAGTGTGCTGTGTTGATGCACCATTGAATGTAACTTTCCAAAGAGTCTCTGCCTTTTGTTTTTCAATTCTCTACCACATTTTGGACATTTCTTTCATCCAAAAGGATAATTTTTTCACTGGCGTTTCTCTTTTCTGCATCATTTGAAAAGTTCTGTTATTTTAAATAGAAGCAAGGCAATCTGATGGCTTCTTGAAGGAGGATTTTGAAGGATGGGTAGAGTTTTGGAAAGGCAGAAATAAGTAATAGGAGAAAAGCATTTGGGGCAGAGAGAGGATATATGAACAAAAGGGAAACATGCCCAAGGCATATTGGGAGAGAAATCTAGTCAAAGCAGAGAGCTATCTGGGAATAGGAGGAAACCATTCCAGGCTTTTGATCAGGGAGTGGCGTGATAAAAGTGGTTTTAAAAAGATTTCCTTGAGCCCTGGGAGGAAGGGAACTAAGAACATCATCCAAGTATGCCCTAAGGAAGGCCTGGCCTATAGGGGAGGGGAGGCGACAGTCATTCAAAAATATTTATTCAACACCTAGAAATAAACTAAGCCAGCTGTGTGCAATGGGAAATCTGTTTGAGGAAGTCTGTTTGCTTAAAATATGTCTATTTTAACTTACCAGTGTAAGGCAGTTCTAGTTTTCTTTGTGAACAAAAGTATTCATAGATCCCTATCCCTTCTCTACCTGGTGAGATCTTCCTTCAAGGCTTACTCAAATGTCAGCTGTGAACCCTGCCCTTGGCCACGTTGGGACATTTTCTTAAATTATAGTTCAGTTACCCTGTTACAATTAAACAACAGTACTTGCATGTTTATATCCCTCACTAATTTTGGAGCAAGATACCTGGAATTTTTTTTTTTTTCTTAACCATCTTCTGCTTCCACAGTTTGTATCCACTGCCTAGCACAAAGTTTACTTTGGTGTTTGGATGGATTAATGTGTACTAATAGAAAGATAATAGGGAGAGTGCTGTCTTTTAAAATAGGATTTGGACTGTTAACTCAGACTGTAGGTCCTGTTTTGCTTATGAGTAGCAGATAAAGTAGCTACTAACAACACTATAAGCTGATGGGAAGGGCAGAGAATTAAGAATGTCATGATGTAGCTTTCTTTTTCTTCCAAAAGAATTAAGATACTTTCAGGATTGGTAACTGGAAGCTAATCGAAGCAATAGGCAACACATACAATTAGGTAATGCTTAGCTGATGCTTACTGAGCACTTACTGTATGCTGGGCACTGTTCTAAATGCTTCACCCATATTAACTCCTTTAACCCTGCCAGGAATCCTGTGACATGGCACCATTATTAATTTCCCTTTATGGATGAGGAAACACAGAGTTAAATGACTTTCCCATGATACATAATTGAAAACAAGTAAGCTACCATAATGAAAATAACAAGTAATGATAGAATATTTTATTAAAACATTTCTTGAGCTCATCTTACATTTTTTTTCTTCATGAAATCCACATATAATAATGTATCTGATGCTTTTGCAGTTAATTTAGGGCAGTTTCTTAAAAGGTCACTTACGTAAGTTTTTATACAAAATGTATTTTTCCCAGATTGGTGAAGATATTGACCTGACAGATAACAAATGTTTAAAAAAAATTTGCTCTTTATGTGTCTTCTTTGAAAAAAAAAAAGGGCTTACTCTTTGTACTGTTTTCTCTTTTAGCAGCCTATTTTGTTGAAAATGGAAATGAATTTGTTGCTAAATACACATACATAAAAAATGTTGACTCAAATACTTGAGAAAAGACAGAGCAAATCCTTAACATTGTTTAGAAACATCTGCTGAGATTACTAATTAATATAGGCTCTTAAGTGTGCATTGTTTTTTAATCAGCTCATATATAGGGGTTATAGTACAATTGTATCTTACTAATAAAATTAACATGAGGTTCACAGTGCATACAATACTAATTTGTAATTGAAATAATTTGATTTATAATATAGTCAAAACGGCTTGTGTGTGTGTGTATATATATATATGTGTATGGATAAAGATTTTAAAAGTGGAATCACAATTATAATGTAAATGACTAATGGGAAGAACTAAAGAAGTAATCATAAATTGATTTCTTGTATATTTTATTCTCAGAGTTAATTATATGTCTGCCAATAACAATGAAAATATATTTACTTGAATATTTGATTTGGCATTTATTGACCAATTTATCAAGTAGAAGCAGCATTGGGAGAAACTAGAACATAATTTGAATAGGCCAGTGCTTGAGCTATTTGTACAGTGATACATTCAGACAATATTTGGGGCATTTATTTTGGAAGTTGCTTGTGGTCAAAAAATGTATTTAGGAAGTACAGTACTCGTGGGTTGGGTTTTTTTTATTTTTTTATTTTTTTGTTTTTCTGTTCTGTAAAACCCTGGTAGCATGTAATTAGAACTTGAATGATAGCATTTGCCTTTCAGGGCTCAATGAGTCCTTTAAAATATATGGTTGCAAAAGTCTCATATTATATAGTATGAGTACTTTGTGAATTGGAGAGCTACAGTATGGGTGGGTAGGTTTGGTAATATGAAAACAGAAAGACAGGAACATGCCCTGGATTGCATTAATGCTTACCAATATAACATACCTAAAGCTCCTGATAGTCAAGGAAAGGTTTTTTTAGTATTGATGACAGAGCAAATCAAAATTAAGGACTTACAGAACATTTGTAATTTCTCCTAAGCATTTTTTCTCTTTTAAAAGTAGTATATAGTTAAAATTTAGGCATTTAATATGTATAAACATATTATAACAAAAACAAAAATAATGCCATACTGTCTCAAGAGAAAGTAAAGAGAGGAAAGTCTGAGGCTGGCTACTTTAATTTTTCTTTTCCCAATTTTAACTTACTATGTAAACATTAAAGCAATACTAAAATAATATGTCATGAATTTTTTAAAGAAAATTAATTATATTGAAATAAACAAGTAACTTAAGGTGGCTTCATTTACTTTTCTTCAACATGCACACATTACTTTTTTTTAGTTGGTAAAAACCCTCCCAGTAGGAGACTCTCCCAGAACAGCAGACAAAGTCATATCTGTTAGTACTCTATTACTCTACTACCTAAAGAGGGAAAGAACAAAATCACAAATTGTTATCATGTATAATACTGATATGGAGTTTTGTTATGGAGATTTTTCCTTTTGTAAAAATTGTGACAAAAATTTATAGCCTTTTTAATTTTATTGATTAGAAGTTACTTAAAAACATAAGTAAAAGGCAGTCTGGGTGGCTCAGCAAATTAGCCCCACCGTCGGCCCAGGGCGTGATCGAGTCCCACGTCCCGCTTCAGTCTCCCTGCATGGAGCCTGCTTCTCCCTCTGCCTGTGTCTCTGCCTCTCTCTCTCTCTCTGTCTGTGTCTCTCATGAATAAATAAATAAAATCCTAAAAAAAAGTTAAAAAAACATAAGCAATAAAGTGAATTATTTAACCTCAATTTTAGAAAATAACATGAAAATTCTGTTTATCACAATTTAATACTTTTCTATATATAGTTTTGTTCATTGTGACCAAGACACTTTTGAGGGTAGTTATACTTAGTTGCTTGCATTCTCTCTGACTTTTTCACGTGAAAGTCCTTTAAGCAAAATCCCTCCTTGTCCTAAGCATGTATAGCTGATTTTTTAAAAAATATGGTCTAGAACTTTAGGTATTTTGTCTCTTGTACATTCACTTTGGTCATATGTACAATTCCATAGCCAGTGGATGTATTTCAGAGTCTGGAGTCCATTCTACAAAGTATTTTTCTTTTACATTCAGGATACTTGATAAAGGTTTGGTGGATGTTTTCTTTACTCCCCAGTGCTACTTCCAGAACATTTCTCTACCCACTTATGATAGCTCTTGCTATGTTCTACCAACTTTTCCCAGCTTCTTTTTTGTGTTATCCTGCTAATTCAGTGATACTCTCTTTTGCTCTTAGGATTTGGTACCTGGTCCCAGGCTTCCACTTTGTCTCAACTCTTGCCATCATTGTGAATAACGTTGTCTGTAGGGACCATTCAGCTACCAATCTGGCCTGTTCTTTGCTCGCCACAGTTTCAGTAACCTTTTTCTCTTTTCCACCGCAGCCACCTATTTCCATAATCATACTGTGCCATCACCTAAAACCATTTCACTTTCAAAATCAATAAAACATTTCACTTTTCTTCCACGCTCTTTGTTCTCTAATTTCATCAGGACCTTGTGTCCATTTCTGTCTTTCTCCACTAGTACTTGTCTGTGTATTCATTTCCTTCTTTATTCTTAGAGTTTATGGTTGGTCATTCCACTCTTCCTCCTGACTCCTCTCTCATTTTTTTTCAAACCCTGGCAAGACTCCAACTCCATGTGAACCAATTGTCTGTGTCAGCACTCAGTTCCAGGGGAGATTGGATCCAGTATTCATGAATGTTACCTTCAGTTCAACTGAGATCTCCATACTGCCTGGAAATACTACTACATTCCTTTTTCACTCTGTAATAACTGTTTAAACCTTCACTCTTCTCATACATATTTTTCTCTCTCCTGAACTATTTAACCCTCAGGAGATAACTTTGCATTTTGTTTCAGGGAAAATAGACCATCCACCAGGAAATTTTTTTATTTTCCTATCTGGTGTTCTCCAAACCCATGGTGAAGATCATCTTCTCCCCTTTTCTTCCTGTTATGAAGGATATGCCCTTCCTCCTGACAGAGGACAATTCTATCTATGTTTCAAATCTCATCATCTCCTGTATCATCATTATCATTGTTATTATGCATATTAATGGAAAAGGACCTATAGAGAGACAGGTTGAAGATAAAGACTAGAGAGAAAAGATAATCATACCTAAAAGTCCCTAAAAAGGTAGAAGGAGGATGGGTGGGATCCAGATCATAAGGTAAGAATTAGCCTTTGATGAGAGGAGGGATACATCTTCTGTTG